ACCGCTCTGCCCTCATCTATCCAGCTAGATATTCCTTCGTAGAAGGTGATCAGGTTAGTCAAGCAGGATTTCCCCTTGGTGAATCCATGCTGGCTACTCCTGAGCACCTTCTTCTCCTCCATGTGTCTGGAGAGAGCAGCCAGGATGAGCTGCTCCATCACTTTCCCAGGGATGGAGACACTTTTTTGGGGACACTTTTTTGGGGACACTTGTGTCACTCTATGCTGCTGGTGGCCCCAGGTTCTGGAAGACGGTCCCGTCTGGGGCCACCGTCTGCAGGGACAATGTTGGGGGGTTGTGGTGGCACTTGGGGACACCAGTGTCACCCCATTTGGGGACACTTGTGTCACTCTATGCTGCTGGCAGCCCCAGGTTCTGGAAGAGGGTCCCATCCAGGGCCACCATCTGCGGGGACATTGTTGGGGGGGGCTGTGGTGGCACTTGGGGACACCAGTGTCACCCCATATAGGGACACCCAGGTCACCTTGTGAGACAGGTGGCACTGGGTTCTAGAACATAGTCCCACCCAGGGCCACCATCTGCAGGAAGGGAGGACACAGAGGGGTGAGTGGTGGCACCTCAGACCACTTGGGGACATGGGTGTCACCCCATTTGGGGACACCCAGTTCGCCTTGTGACACTGGTGGTCCTGAATTCATGGAACAGGGAGCCATCCAGGACCACCGTGCATGAAGGGAGGACACAGAGGGGTGAGTGGTGGCACCTCGGACCACTTGGGGACCCTTCCGGACACGGGTGTCACCCCATTTGGTGTCACTCTATGCTGCTGGTGGCACCAGGTTGTGGAAGACGGTCCCGTCTGGGGACACCGTCTGCGGGGACAACATTGGGGGAGGTTGTGGTGGCACTTGGGGACACGGATGTCACCCCATTTGGGGACACTTGTGTCACTACACGGTGCTGGTGGCACTGGGTTCTGGAAGAGGGGCCCATCCAGGGCCACCATTTGCAGGGACAGCCCGGGGGGGAATGCGGTGGCACTTGGGGGGCAAGGGTGTCACCTCACTTGGGGGACACTTGTGTCGCTCTGTGGTGCTGGTGGCACCAGGTTATGGAAGAGGGCCACCACCCACAGGAAGAGAGGACACAGAGGGGCAAATGGTGGCACCTCGGACGCCGGGGCCCATTTGGGGACATGGGTTTCACCCCATTTGGGGACACCCAGCTC